GAACTCAACCTGGTGGTGACTTAGTCACTTAAAACGCTTTCTTAGCCTTAGTCATCAGATATATAAAATTGCATGAATAATACCAACACTGTAGAGAAGTTGTTGGAAATATTATAGTATTTGGAAATACCAATTAAAAGCCCAAATAGGTCAACATGGTGGTACACATTTTAACAAACTCTTCTCAGTAATATGTATCCCTGACTTCACCATAAGGCTCAATGAGGTGAATCTGTTCAATAACTCTTTATATAATAAATATAACAATCTTACAAGTAATTAAAGCTTTATCAGCAAATTTCCATGCTTACTAACTAAGAAACCTGAAGATTTTTATAGGAATGAACCACACACCTAGGGATGAGAAAGGGATAGGGGAGGAGAAAAGACAGAGGAGCCAGATACAATTTAATACAAATCATTGATGAGTACTGGGAGAAATGCATCAAGTTAGGTGTTGAAACAGAACATGAGGATGAGTTCACCAAAGGCAGCTTCCTACTTCACCACTTTCCATGGAGCTTGACACAAAAATAGTCTCAAGGTCACTTGGAACAACGATGACATGAGGGGAATGTGAAATAATGACAACTACTGCAATAAGAGCTAACTCATTGTATTCTGGACAGTCTGCAAGTCCTTCAAATGCATCAACGCATTTGCCCTCACAGGAATTAGGTACTATTCATCCCCATTTTATAGGAGAAGTAAATAAAGTTGAGAGGCTTGACAGTTTTCTTACATCATAGCTGGTAAGTGGCAGAGGTAGGACATGCATCCTCCATCTAGCTGACTCTCCAGCTGCACTAAATCAACATGCTAAATGAGGAGAATCATCCACTGTGATGAGAGGCAGCTTCCATCTGTTTGGTACTGATTGTCTAAGTCCATGTTTACTTGCTTCCATGTGACTTCAATTAACATTGAGGTTATTGGCCTGATGCTTAGAAACCTAATATTGACTGAACTTTTCAGGTTTCCCCACAGACTGGTGAACAGCTTTCTCTCTCAAATAGATGCAACCTGGTCACAAGAGAGAGGCTACAAGAGTTCAGTTTTAGCCAGTGTTTTTCAGAGTTGAGGTTTCCTCTTGCATTCATTTAGCCTTCAAATTCTCAAGGACGACCTCTCTAGCAGACACTGTTTCTGGGGTCTGGGGAGGGAGTGGGGGAGCTGTCCTCATGGAGGTAATTACTCATGGAGTAGTGAGTAATTATTCATTACTTACCATGGTGCCAGTGTATTCTTCCAGTTTAGCCTCAGAAATGGCCTTTCTGTGGTGAAGAAAGAGGTCTCGGAGGAAGTTCTGTGGCGCCAAGAGAAGAGTCATACTTCATATAGTGAGCAAATAAACTGCAAAGGTCTTAAAAGGCCTTATTTCAAGAATTGTGGGTTGTTTGTTTCCAGGAGGAAATAAAATGCTTTTAGCAAGCAATAAATCCAAGAATTGAGGGCTGTCACTGTTTATAGGGAGCTCACGGGGCCCAGGGACTAGCTCCAGCATGAAAAAGTTATCATAAATGCTCAATTATGCTGCTTTTCCAGAGACAGCAATGTGACTTGCACTTTCTAAACCTTTTAAAAATGAATATATATACATATATGTACATATGTATGTATTTTTTGAGTAACATATTCAAATACATCTTTCCTGGGCCCACAGAAATCAAACTCATGATACACACATATCAAATTCCCAATGATAAACAAACCCACCCCTTCACCCAGTGACACTTACGCGGAGCTCAGCAGCTGATATAAAGCCACTGCTGTCAGCGTCATATTTGCGCCAAATCTGAAATACACAAAAGTCATTAATTCATTTATCCTCAGATAAGTTGGAATAATTATGTGGTATCTACTACAGTTCAGCATCTGAAAACAGTACTTAACTGAATGGAAATTCCACTTTTGATGGGAAACTTTAGGCTTTCTTTGGTGACAGCAATTTTGGGCAGAATCCACCAGAAATAGATCACTGCATTCACTTGGAGCCACTTAAGGAGGGCCACAGTGGTTTCAATGAAAGCCCACTGAGTGGGCTTTAATCGAAAGGGTTCTTTTGGAAAGTTCAGAATGGAAAGATACAAAGTGATGAACTTCAATTTGGGGCAATATGACAAAGTAAGAAACCTCCTCAGTACTAAATACCTAAAAATGCAACATCCTATGTAAATAACTTTTAATTACATTGCATAGATCACAAGAAAGTGAAAGGACTCCTAAGAGACCCAACGTGATAGGAAAGCACAAACTTAGAGTGGTAATGTAGGACTGAAACCAAAGCCTATCCCAAGTATATCTGCTGGTCCCTGGCAACAACGTCTGCAGTTTTATGAGAAAACTGCACATGTGGTAGACAGGGAATAAATCATGGGACCCACACAGGTGGAAAATCAGATCGAGGTGCCCGCTTTAAACTAAAGCTTCAAAACTAAAACCTTAATGAAAGATGAACTTTAAAAAATTACACTGCAGAAAAGTCCCCTAAGAAATCTTGCCTGTGTGGTCTTGTCTCTGATGGAGGGAATAAAATAACTGATAATTCCCAGTTATAAGCTACTCCTCTCATTAGTGTGAGGCCAGCATTCATCCAACTGAAGATACAGTTACTGAACTGGAAGACAGAACAGCTGAAACTCTTTGAGGAAAGCACTGAACTACTTTCCTTAATAAATTCTGTTACTCTCACCACCTCTGATTATTCCATGGACAAGCCCCACATCAGTTGGCAAGCTCCCTAACTCTTGTACAAAATGAAAGGTTACACTAAGTTGTTGTGTTTTTTTTTCCATTGACAGATTTTTCTTAGATCCTAGATGGATTGCCTGTGTTCTGTGTTAACCAACTGCAGGAACCTTAGTTATTAACCACAATCAGTGTCCTGAGCTCAGACTCTGCAGGGATAGTAGGAGATGTTGATACTGATGCTATGTCGACACTGGTGCTGATATTTGGTGATAACAATTCAGAAATGTCACTCCTTTCAGACCCTGTCATTTATGTCTGAATTTAGTCCAATTTACACAATCAATGAGTTAAATGTGATTTATATCTTTTATCGTATGAATATGCCAAAACTATGAGAATTTCAAATAATTTTTAAAATTTTTTGCATGCTTTTTAAATGCCATTCTCCAACAATATCCATCTAAATTATTGTGTAGTTTTACTACAGCTGAGTCATTGGAGAGCCAAAGATTTTTGTGTGAACATTCAGCAAGCCTATCTTTAAAGAATAAAAACAAAATAAAGACATTTCCAGACAAACAGAAGCAGAGTTTATTACCAGCAGACTCTCAATAAAGAATATACTCTGGGAAGAAGAAGGAACAGGAAGAAGGAAATCTGAGATACACAAAAAAGGAATGGTGAACAAAGACAATGGTAGCAATATGACATGTGGTGACACATGGGCAAATTGAAACAAATCTTGACTGCATAAAATTTGTGGGATTAAAGAAAACAAGAGAGAACTAATATTCTGGACAATAATGGCACATGAGTTGGTGAGTAAGAGTTATAGTGTGTTAAGATCCTGTGGTTCAGGGGAAAAGTTAGAATTTCTTAAAATATGTAGAATGTAATGGGATATAAGACAGTTAATTTTTAAAAACGAATAATTTACAATGATAGTTTTAAAAACTGGGTACAGAAAGGGAAAGCTCTTCTTTACAGATAAAATCGACAAACTACAAAGGCAGGAAAAGTAGAATTAAAAAAAAAAAAAAGATAAGAAGCCTCCATAGGGCCATGTGCTTTTCCCACTTCTCAAGATTATTCAAGACTACACTAGACCTAACATTTTAATACTATTTTTCTATATTCATGATTTTTTTCTGAAATCATGTTCACTGTACAAAATTAATGAAATACAAAAAGAAAAAATTTATAATCTCCAGAAATTCCTCTCCTGAGATAATTACTTATTGTTTCTATGTGTTTCATTTCTATCATGTTTCTACAACATACACTAAAAAACAGAATTGGGATCATATTATCTATACGCTTGGGCAGTCTCTTTGTTATTTTTATTAAAAATGTTATCTGAGTGTTTTTAAACACAATTAGAATCATTTTGAAAATGTCTTAAAATACATTTTAAATAATTATGACTTTATACACAATTGGAAAATACAAAAGTACAAAGAATAAAATCACCTGAAATCTTACCACTTACGAACAACCGATATTTATTTGTGTATACTTACCTATTATCTTATTTATTCAGGCCTCAGGGTAAACAACTTTTAAACAAAGTTAAGATCAAATTCCATATACAATTTTGTTTCTTAATATCATATTGCATTTCCTTCATGTCATTAATTATTTTTTGAAAATTTGATCTTCAGTGATCAATAATGTTCAATACTGTAGTTTTTTGCTAATGAATCTGCAGCACCTAGAACAGTGCCTTGCATATTACAGTGCTCATAAGAATTTGTAGAATGAATGAATTATATGAATATATCATAATTTAACTAACTTTTCCACTATTGTTAGACATTTATGTTATTTTTAGTTTGAACTATAAGTGACACTGCAACATTATATGAACATCATTGTACAGAAAACTTTTGTCTACATTTCTGATTATAGCCATAAAATAGATGCCTGAAAAAGTAGAATTTTTGTGGTTTTTTTTGTTTGTTTGTTTGTTTGTTTTGAGACCAAGTTTCCCTCTTGTCCCTGAGGCTGAAGTGCAATGACACGATCTATGCTCACTGCAACTTCTGCCTCCTGGGTTCAAGCAATTCTCCACCCTCAGCCTCCTGAGTAGCTGGGATTAGAGGTGCCCACCACCACGCCCAGCTAATTTTTGTATTTTTTTTTTTTTTTTTTTTTTTTTAGTAGAGATGGGGTTTCACAATGTTGGCCAGGCTGCTCTTAAACTTCTGACCTCAGGTGATTCACCCACCTTGGCCTCCCCAAATGCTGGAATTACAGGTGTGAGCCACCGTGCCCAGCCAGGACAAATTAAATTTTAAAAAATTAACTGTGGATAATGAAATTTTAAAGGATCATGATTGAATTTTTCCAAAATTACTTTCCATAAAATTATTGCATTGCTTGAGTTACTGGCATAAATTCATGGTCCATTCAGAATTTCTTCTGTAAATTGCCTATGCAAAACTTATTATCTCCTAAATGGGGACATGGTAACTGTATCCATTGTGGGGCCCTGGATGCAGTGGCTGTCTTGAATCTGCTGCTCTGGACTTGGGGAAACCCTTATCTGCCCTTCCGTTGTTGTTTTTCACCAACAGAGCAGTAACACTGAGAGGCTGAGAGAAGGGGTAGCCAGAGGGAAAGCGGTAAGAGAGGTTATTGATATTGCCTTTAGCTTTTACTCTCCCATGATTATAAACAGAAGGCCTCCTGGCTGGACCAGCACTCTAATACATTATGTTCTGTATCATCATGCCTTCAAAACTAAAATTAGTTGCTGCCATTTTCTAGAGTCTAGATTTCTAGACAGCATTCTCAAAAGGCTGAAGCTCCATAGGGATATTGGCTTCAGATGGGGCACCTGCTCTCCTTTCCATAGTCCCCCACCTCCCCTCCCTCTCCATTCTTCAGTGTACCTGCCTGGCCTCTTGTCTAAAGTTTCCTCCAGCCCAAACTAAAGGAGCCTGTCAGCTCAGGAGCACCCCAGGACAGTACTGAGAGAACACTGGGGTTTGGGACCAAAGTCCTCACTCATCACTAAGGCATTTTTTGCTTGGTCTTATCCTCAGTGCTCAGCTCTCCCTTGACCGCTGGGCAGGAGTGGTGGTAGCCACAGCAGGTGGCTAAGATCATAGCCTTGTCTCCATCCTCTTTCTCCATAAAGATATAATCAAGCACTCACCTGCATAAACTCCACGCTGCTGTCCAGTGGGTTTTCCCGACGAAAGACCAGAAGAAAGTTTTCATCCTCAGATAAGAACATACCAGCAAGCTAAAGGAACAGAAAAAATAAGTCGGGGACCCTGGCCAGTGTCCATTTAAGAATGTTCTCTGGTAAAAGGCATGGTGGTACGTCTTCCAGGGCGGAAGGTCTCAGATCTTCCAGGATGAACAGCTCAGTTTGCAGTTCTGTGCTCTTGATTGACATTCTTTGATTCATTTATTCTTTCAGAAAGTATCACACTCCTACTAAGTATAAATCGCTATGGATATCTGCCTTCCACGAGCTTAAAATCTAAGCTAATGATGAATATAACATTAATATCAATAATAAATTTGTTAAGTGTTGATATGTTCCAGGCACTATTCTAAGAACTTCCAATACTGAATTAATTTAATTCCATAGTAACAGAAGATAAAAATAGCAAATAATGCTTATGTTTGCCAGGCATTATTCTAAATGCTTGCATATGCTAATTCATTTAATCCTAATAACAATCTATGGGGTGCACAACATACCATTACTGTTATTTTCCGGTGCAGGAAACTGGTCTATACAGAGATAAGGAACTTGCCAACATTTTGTAATTAGTGTGTGATGAAGTCAGTATTTCAGCTTGGCGATCTCAAGCCCACACTTTTAATCACTATGGTTTACTGGTGAGATGCTGTATATATACAGTACTTCAGTGCAAAAGCAGGAATAACTGCTGCCTGGCTTGATACTTGAGTGTTAGCTATGGTTTATATTTTTTTACATTATTAGTGTCTATAAGATACTACAACAGTTGACTCAAGTATGATAAATTCAGCCAATCAGCTTTTTAATATGAGCACCAGTTTGACTGATTTACTTCATGCACTCCCTTGAACAAAGGTATAATAATATCTTGTTCCCCTATGTAGTTATAATACTTTTTTCAGGTTTGGCTGTGTTCATTGCCAAGCCTAGGGTATTGTAGTATATGTTGTCTTCTTTCTGAGCTGTTCCCATAGACAATGGTCATTTCTTCTCTAATGGAGTAGTTTGCTCAGTGTCTTGTACAATACCACAGAGTGAGTCCACAGCAGATGCTCCGGAAGGGATTTAGGTGTAATTAGCTCACATTCTCATTCACATTTTCTAATTGGATGTGGGTCAGCTCGAGGACACATCATGTTAACAATAACTACCAGATTTTGAGTGCTTGCTACATGGCAGGTACCAGCAAGATGCTTTTTAGTTATCATCTCATTAAGTCCTCACACCAGTTTTTCAGGATGAGTATAAATATCCCCTTTTTGTCAATGGGAGGCAGTGCAGTTCAAAGTGTAAGTGATAGGCTTTAGAGTGAAATTAAATTTCTTCTCCATTACTTACTAATGATTTGACCTTAGGTAATTTAGTTAATATATCTATGCCTCAATTTCCTCATTTGGAAAATGGAGATAATAATATTGATATCCTGGTCCAGATGGGAAGACTAAAAGTAAGATGAGCCAGTATTTATAAACTGTTTAGGAAAATACCTCATACATATCAAATAGTCAATAAATGATGACTGCCATGTTGGTGAAGATGATAAAATTGAGGCTCAGAGAAATTAAGTAACTTGCCTAAGGTTTCATATTCCACCATATTGACTTCATGCTTTTCCCATCAACCTACACAGGGTCAACTGGAACAGGGAACTGTTCTTTGAGACTAGCGGTGGCCTTTTTCCCATCTTATTTTTTACTAGAAAATCCAACATGAGCCAAGGTGGGCTGATTTTTATGTCACGACTACCTGTAATTGGAGTAAGTGAAATGGTCAATAGTACAGCAAGGGAATGTAGGGGAAGCAAAAGGCCTTGCTGCTCCTTAGACTCACAGACTCATAAGGTTTTAAGGAGCCTTGGGAACGATGCAGTCATGCACCATCAGCTTTCGAACAAACAACAACCTCAATGACACTCATATGCAGAATTACAAGACAAAAATGGTTGGCCAATTACTGGGGAATGTCTTCTGTTATTAGTAAGATAATGACATAGTTTTCAGTTATTTGCTATGTTTTGCTCATTCATTAATTAGGTCAAGAAATACTGAGCCCTACTATATGCTATGCTCTGTTCCAGGGTCTGGAAAATTACAACAGTGAACATGTAGTTATGAATCTTTTGTTTAGTACACCTAACTTGCTGTTTGCATTTACTGTGCTGTTGATGCACACATTGATACTTTTACATCCAGTATAATCATAATTTTTGGTTACATATACAATTTTGCCTTTGATTAAAAGTTTGGAAACAGCTACACTCATAAATCTAGAGTTTAGTTTATTCGTTTTCTGAAAAGGCAGTCTGCTGGTGAACACGCACACTTTTTATAAAGGGAAATTATCCTGCCCTATTAACATAACTTCCTGAAGAAATTGTCCTATTATTCTTTTCAATAATATGGACTGCTCAGATATGGCAGTGTCACAACATCAAGAGACTAGCTCTCCCATTGTCAGGTAATATGTCTAACAGGCAGTTTTGACTATGAAAAAATATCTTAGTTTCAGATTGACTCATTTTCACATACAGATTTATAGCTACATAGTATGAACCTGTATAGATTCCTATCTATAAGCAGAGTTCCACTAAAACCATTGCCACTTATTTGGTCATGTCATTCTAGGAAAGTAACTCAAGTCCTTATCAGCAAAATAGGGATAATGTTCCATGCCTATCATCATCTTAACTACTACGGGAATACAATAATAAAATATATGTGGAAGTCCTTTCTAAACTGTAAACATTTTTGTAACTGGAAGGAGAAATGATCAGGTAAGTTGTAGACCATTCACAGCGCTGCACACGTAGCATAGTTACATGCTTTAGTATGTGCTCCATAAAAGTGGATTAAGTTGAAGTAAAGACAGCTATTGTCTGTCATGCTTTTAATGATCTTAGGGATAGATCTTTCCTATCTCCACTGGGAGCTGATGCTGAAGTTTAACCTTATTTATTTTCAGTAAGTTTTTCCTTATATCACTGCTCAGTTTGAACAGGACACTAAAGAGACAAATGGTGGATCAAGTAATTGAAAGGCCTCTATCATTTCAATTCCCCAATTATAAAATAGGTACAAATATTAATTGACCTAAATAAAATGATAAAAGAATTGCACACTCTTTGTTACTAAGTAGATGAAAAAGGAGAGATGATTACTTTTAAAATGTTATCTAAGCCAACTGCCTTTCAGAAATCTCCAATTTCCTGATCAAATGTAAAGTTTCCATTGTCTTCCAAAGAATATTACAGCCCAAGACGACAAAGTAAAGAAAAAAACAGTCAAGAAGAGTAGAGCCATGAAAGATACAGTCATGAAACGTACCTCTTTCATCTGAATGTGACCATCTTTAGAAGCATCTCGGGTAGTCATAAATTGCTGTTTCACCTTGTGCAAATTTGCTTTCATGACTGTGTCCTGCAATTGACCAAACAGAGCCACATTAAAGCCACTGGGATCTCAAAGATATAGTTAGGATAGCAAATATTCAAAACACACGGCATGATAATTATGTTTTTCGAACCTGGAAAGCAGGTTCCTTGGCCATTTAAAGTGATTTTATCCTTTTGTAGAAGAAAGAGCAACGCTGGAGATTTCTTGAGCAACCAAGCACTAATCAGAATCTTGACTAGGTACAATTTACAGTTAATTAGTTATTAAAATATTGATAAAAAGAAGCTTAGAGACTAGGGTGCTGAAAGAACAAATTTGAACAGTGTTATATTTGGTTGTGACAAAAGATTGTATTGTAATTACAGATTTTCTTCCCAGTAACTCAGAGGTTTTACATTTTTTAACTGAAAAGTCCAGTTGTTCTGGGCCCCCAGGTGTATGTAACTCCTTTTTAATCTTCTTTTGTATTCTCTAGGGAAAAAAAAATAATGAGAAGGGAGAAATAATTAAAGAGGAGACCAAAGTAATAAGGTAATTGCTGAGTTAACCAAAGATGTTACAACTCCCTTCTATGTTGAACCTTAATTGTCTTCTCTGGTGGATTTTATGGTTATTACAGTAAAAGTGACATATGTAACCAACAATAAAGAATGAATTCTGATGCAAGGGTTGAGAAGCATAGATAATCCCAAAGAGTGCCCAATTCTAAGATTCTAGACTTGCTGAAATTTATGCTAAATTCATTCTCCTTAATACTATCATGCTATCTCTGGTCCCAAGCCCTCCAGCTGTAAGTTAGAGGGACTTAGAAGAGGTAATCCTGCTGATTCACTACCCTCCCTGTTGGTGTTGGGGGTAGAAGTGACTCAGCCTTCAGGACACTCTCTGGATGCATCATCTGTGCACATGTGTACAGGCCAGTTATCTGGGTGGCCTTGGGCTGACTCAGTTCTTCTGCCTTTCTTACTTGTATTTTTCAAGAATAACCCTGGCATGTGCTGGTGATGCAACATCCTGAGATAAGGAAAAACTTGCCAGAACAACCCAGGTTCAAGATGTCCTAAAACACTTTAGCCCACCACATGTTGCCTTCAGGTACAAAACTCAGAAAACACTGCTTTCTATCAAGCACCTACCATGTGCCAAACACAATTCTGGCCACTGGTGACATTATAGTCAGCAAAAGAGACCTGGTCTTTGCCCTCCATCACAGGCTGGTGGAAGGCATCTTTGTCTAGCCTTCCTTTCCACTGGGACCTCTCCCTAATGGAAGAAGAGAGGAGATGGTGGAAAGAGAAATGTGGTGGGGAATTAACAACTGCTACATCCAATTCACAAGAATAGGAAAGAAGAGCAGGTAAATAAACATTTTTGGAGTGCCAGCCAGAGGATGGGCTCTAAGCCATGCTCTTTAACAAATATTATCTCCCTGGATCTTCACAAAGGCCCTGGGAGGCAGAGAAAAATGTACTATACCCTTCAGCCCCTGGCTTCCTTGCTGGCCTACTAGCTTCTTCCTCTTTGGGAAACTTGTTTTTTCTTTTGTGCTCCCGCTTCTTACATGGAAATTCTCCTTTATCATTTTCCCATCACTAGCTGAGAAAATGTTTTTGGTTTTTTTGTATTCTTGACTCGAAGGGGCTGTCAGTCCTCACCTCTTCCCCTCAGGCTGTCATCGCTTCAGTTGACCTCTTGCATATGGCAAAGAACTTGCCAGAACAACCCAGGCTCTGTTTTAGTCCTTCCTAGAACAAAATGTCCTAAAACACTTTAGCATGGCACAACATGTTGCTCTCAGGAATAAAACCCAGGGAAGACTGCATATGGCAAATGTTTTTCAGGGAGTAGAAAATCTAGTAGAAAAGTAGTACAAACTCTCTACCTTCCAGATCTTAACATATGAAGACTAATACTCAAATTCATGATAATTTTATCCATTGCTGCACTATAAATCAAAACATATGATTCATTCAGATTAGTCTTTGTGATTTAGAAGCAAAAGAGTAAAGGAGAAAAAAATCAGAGGATGCTTGGCAATCTTTTCTAAGGATCTGAGACACTCCCCTTTCATTTTACTGATGAGAAAATAGGCCAGAAGGGTGATGCTGCTGAATACTGGCAGAACAATCTTAAAACCAGCACATTTGATATCTGGTCTAGTGCACTTTCCACCACACCTTGTTGTTGCTTGAGATGAGGCAGAGAACACCTAATGGAGTCATTGCATTCCAGCATTAAGTTGTTAATAAATGAGAAATGGTTCAAACAAAATGCAAGGAAAGCTTGATGACTTGCTTTGGGGATTTTTCAGGATAGGTTCTGGCAACTAGTTAGATAACCAGATGCTTTAAATATTATAAGAGCCTGAAGGTTTGAAAGCCTTTTCTTAGAAAACCAGGGAACACTTTGGTCAGCAAGAACAATTTTAATGCTAGGGAAGTTCCTGGGCATTATGCTAGACCTCAACCCCTGACATTGGCATCCATCGTGCCAACTCATTGTAGGAGATGGGTGCATAGCAAATGTTCGATGTAAGGTAGAAAAGGTGCTGTGAGCTGATATAATTTAAGCTATTGGATCCTCTAATATCTGATTCTCTAAAATTCCAGGATTGGTGTGGATACTGGATATATAGGGAACTGCCAAGTTTCATGTCAGTCAGTAGTTTGCCTCTTCCCTGTTCAATCATACACAAACTTTTGTCAGTAAGTATAAAGATAGAATTGTACTTCCTTTTTTTTTTTTTTTTTTTTACTTGTTGCCTTTTGCTGCAGGGGATGATAAATAGATGAAATTCATGCAATAGAAAGAAGTTAACGAATTAATGGCTTGTATAGTTCCCAAATGGATAATAAATAGTGATCAATAAACTTTATTTGAAATAAATTGTAGTGAAGGTGAGTCTCTAAAAAAAAAAAAACAAAAGTTATATGAATAAGAACTAAAAAATAGCATCTATATGTATAGCTATTTTTTGAAGTTATAAACCGAAACCACTAGCATTTGTGATTGAGATGATGTATCCATCAAATGAATCTGTGTATCCTAGCCATATCAAGGTCATCTGCTGTTTCTCTGGCTTTGGTCCTGTATTTAGAAACCCAAAATGATTAAAATAAGAAGACTTGGACAGTCTGACTCTGTAAACATCAACCAAACATATTCATATGGTGATTATAAATGGAGAACAGTGAAGGGTCTAGTTAAAAACAAAAAAAAATGAATACCAGCCGGGCATGGTGGCTCACGCCTGTAATCCCAGCACTTGAGGGAGCTGAGGTGGGTGGATTACGAGGTCAGGAGATTGAGACCATGCTGGCTAACATGGTGAAACCCCGTCTCTATTAAAAATACAAAAAATTAGCTGGGCGTGGTAGCACGTGCCTGTAATCCCAGCTACTCAGGAGGCTGAGGCAGGAGAATCGCTTGAACCCATGGGGCGGAGGTTGCAGTGAGCCAAGATCGCACCACTGCACTTCAGCCTGGGCAACAACGTGAGACTCCCTCTCAAAAAAAAAAAAAAGAATACCTTTCTAAATGAACACACATCAGACTAAAAATGTGAAAAAATACATTAGTGATTTGGAACCAAAGCATCAAATGAAGAAATGAGAGATAATGCCTGTATCATTTGTCTAAGACAGAGCAAGTCTAACAGGTCCCTGAGATGACAGTCTGTCTGTTGTCTTCTGTCTTCCTTTGAGTAGCCTCCTTTCCTCATGAAGGACCAAAGGTAGTGGTGAGTATGACTTAAGGCATCCTCCAAAGGTTACCCTAGCTTGGAAAACTTGCTCTCATAAACTGGAAATCATATATATATATATATATATATATATGCGCGCACACACACATATACACATATATATAAATATATACAGTATATATATACACACATACACATATATACACACACACACAGTGTCTGTGTGTGTGTGTGTGTGTGTGTGTGTATATATATAAAAAATCTTAAAAGCATTTCAGTGTTTCAGAGAGTAAGCTTCAACGATCCTGTGTGGGATAACCGCTTGGTGGATCTGAGGCAAAGCGGGGCGTAGAATAAACACTGGGAAAACTAAGGACCCAAGAAGATATTGCATCAGCATAAGAATATACACATTGGGTATTTTTGCAACTAAAAGCACCTTTCACTTATGTTATCTTATTGGTCTTCACTGTGAAACAGGTAGACCAAAACATTATTCTAATAATTATTATTTTATGGATAGGAAAATTGAGACCCAGGAGTTTTAAATGGCATGTTGCTATCACACAGCTCTAGGTGCAGAGATAGGGAATGAGCATCGGATTTCTGCCTCCACACATAGTTGTCCTTTCCCCGACCATGAGCCTTCTTTGGAGTGGGCCTTCAGAGACAAGAGGCACATTTTTTTTATTCTCTGTAGAAGGTGAACAGGTTCTTTGAGACTCCAGGATCTTCTGTCAACCAGGTTTCCTCATGTGACACCCCACTAATCATGGTGGGATTAACCCGTCTATTCTCAGCACCAAAGATTTTGTGTGTGCTTACATTTGAGTGTTCATGTACCATACAGGAAAAGCACAATACTCAACAGGAAATCCCTCAACAGGGTCGAACTTCACTTTGAATTTCAGCTTGATGTTTTAGATTAAGAACTCTGCAAGTATAGCATTCATTTATTTATCTCTGGAACACAGGATCTGTTGGATGAATAAATGATTCTTTATGATGGGCTGGGCATTCCCAAAGGAAGTTAACTAACATGGGTCAGGTCGGTGAAAAATTAGATTTTAAAGTAAATAAATGTGAAGCCAAATAAGCAGTAGCCAGATTCTACATTACCTTTAGTTTGAGGGCACAGAATCTTGGCTTCTGTCTTCTCAGATCCCGAACCCCAAAGCTCATGACTATCCCTTTGACCTAAAGCAAAAGAAACTGGGGCTTCTTCTGTTGTAATTTCCCATCAGTCCTTATCTGAGACACTAGGCTCCAGCAGGGTACTTATAATCCCTGAAGTATTGAAAGAGGCCCAGGATGTGCTACAGTCTGTACATGAGGGGTATGTACACATAGAATCTGATGCTTATCCATGGACTGGCTAAAATCTCAGCATTTTGAAAGAAAAGGTTTGCAGGGAGTAACAGAAACAGCAGCAATTGCAGCTGATGGTTCCATTAAGTCAATCCCCTGCAAGGCTCTGAGGAACAGGTAATTACAAGCAAGCTGGTTGCTCTACTGGATAGATTAGCAGGCAGCTTGCTGTTAGAAACCTCAAAATACCTTCTTCTGAGGTCTCTGTGACCCAGTAATCAGCAGAGGAAAGTAGAGCTATTCATGCCTTTGAAGGATGGCTTACCACTGCTGAACACCAGAGCGAGGGGCTGCCTGATTGTGGAGGCCTCCCTGCTGCTGGATTCTGTACTCACTGGGCATTACCAATCAAAAGTAGATGTCACAGTCAAATGGTGACTGTTCCTCAACTGAAAGGGCTTCCATTTTGGAAATCCTGCCCTATTGTTAAGAACTTCCTTAAGGCCTGCTTATTACTCATCAAAGACAAAACCCAAAATTAGGAATAGCTTCCTTAATCATGGTTGTCCAGGTAACATGGAGTGCCCAGTGAAGGTCCCTGCAAGCACACTTCCCAGAGTAGTGCCTCAGCATTTTGAAAGACATCCAATGGCAGATGATATCATTTCTAGTTAAGAGTTCAAACTTATCATCCTGGCTCCAAAAGCTTTCTTCCCAGCCAAGTGCTCATGAGATGTGCCTGGGGCTCTTGCCACAACTCAGTGGGATTGGCCTAATTATATTAGAATCCCCTCTCCAAAAGTCACCGTTCCTGGAGGAAAAGAGGGTAAAAAAACATGCAAACTGACTTTGAGTGCTTTTAAAATGAAAGATCCTTGGCAGACCCCAAATGTACTTAAATACTTACAGGATGAGACCTAGGGGTCTGCATTTTAACAAAGAAAATATAACTCTCAGGCACACTGAAATTTGATTTGATTTGCACTAGGTTAAGGATTATGAGACCTTCCAACCCCCTTTCCAGCCTCAGGGACATTTGCACCGAATGCAGTTGCGCAGGACACCAGTGAGTCCTTTTTTGTCCTCTTTCCTCAAGGATTATGCTTGCCCCTGTGTAAAAGCATTAGTCCATGGACCAGGTCTGAGATAGGGGCAGTGATAAAAACAGTCAAGCTGCAAGAGATGACATCCCTCTTTTCTCTCACAAAGGCAACAATGCTTCTAAGGTTAGCCAAGGCCTCAGATGAAGATATCTCACAGCATCCTCAGCTTAGAGCAGACCCCAACTCGATGAATGAAAATTAGATACTCCAGCTTCAACACTGATAGCAATTTTTCTCCTCCCTTTTATAAATCACTAGAGCAAGGAGCCCTCTGAAAAGGTGAGAAGTCCAGGTCCCTGATGATAGATTTTTAGGAGCTGACCATCCCATTTATTCCAAGATTTTGAATGGTTTTAACTTTGTCTTTTTGCCTTCCTCAAATACCCATGTTCATGATAGATAAGATGGGTTCCTGGAGCATGATGAGCCTTACATTTACAGATATAAATAGAAGCCCTATGGACAAGGCTGGTGGGCTTCACCACGGGCTGCTGGCATGTGAAACTGGCTGCAAGATTGAGGCAGAAGCCTCACTTGGTGGAGGCTTCCTCAGCTCTACCTGTAGCTTGTGTAAGTACAAGAATGAAGGATAAAAACGAGTGTGTGCAAGTGGTCTGACGAGAGGAAAGAAGGGACTCATGTCTCTATCCTTCTCATCTGCTGATCCTTTCACTTCACAGGCTGCACAGGGTAAGGGGTGGAATGCAGGCAGACAAAGAGCAATAAAAGGTAAAGAAAAAGGGAGATGAGGCAAAGAAAGGGGTGAAGGAGAAAATGATGAGGAAAGAAGTGAAAGTCAAAAAGAGAGATAAGAAAGAAAGAAGAAATAAAAGACCTGGGGAAAGGAGAGAACAAAAGAGCTTTGAGAAGCAGAGAGACTGGAAAAAGAGTGGGAAAACAAAGAGACAGACAGATGGAGAAACAAATGAGAAACAGATATAAGAAAGAGACAAGAAAGATGAGCGACAGAGAGGTCAGAGAGAAAGGAAGAAACAGTGGGAGATGAGAGCCATGAAACACAGAGATGAGAAACAGAAGTGAGCAGAAAAATGACAGAGACAGACATAAAAAAGAGAGACAGAATATGAGAGGCAGACAGAAATAGAGGGGGACCAAGAGATCTGTGCGGCTGAAGGGGGCAGATGTCAGCCCCTTTGTTTCTGAACTGGCTTCCTTTGCACCCCCCATCCCATACCCTTTCCATGTTCTCAACAGTGGTGAGGAGCTCCTTGTTCCCTCACTGAGCTCTCACATGAGAATGTGATGCACTTCTATTCTTCAGATAAACAGCTAAAGGATAAGGACAAATTATCTCCATCATTCATTTAAATTCAGTTGTTCCTAGAGCGTCTCCTTCTACTATGCATGCCCTGCTGGAGCTTTCATCAGATCGAGCCCATCCCCAGGCTGGCCTCTGCTCATGTGTTTCTGTGTAAAATTTTTCTCTGCTTTGGTACAGAGACTTTCAAGAGTTCACTTACATCTCCCAAGGACAGATTTACCATCAGATGGACACTAGATAGATTGGCTTCCATTTATATCTGGGCTCTGGGTATGCTGGCTGTTTCCTGGTTTGTCATTCCCTGAAAAATCTGTAACCTCTTCTAATAAAATGAATAATGGAAAAATGATTTTAAATGGTTTGTAGTTTGCTATCAGAGGACTATCATACATATGAAACACCCAGAGCCTTAATGTGCTTAACATCTTTTCCAGCTTTTTGAACAAATTGGGCTACTTTATCCGCAGGTATAAATCAATTAGCAGAGACATAACCAAGGAGACATTCAAAACCAAGCTAACTGAGTCTACAGTTAAGATCTCTGAGTGGATGACAGATGTTACACTGAAAGTCAGTGACCAGCATGTCTAATGCTACAGTTGTGCCTTTTATAAAACCTGCCTAAATCCCTCTATGTTGCTAGGAGAGGGGGAGAAATTACATGCATGCAAGGAAGAAAAGAGGTCAGATGGAATTAATAGGTACAAATCAACATAAGACTTGGATGTGTGTATCTTACTAAGAGGCATACATTAAGGCTTAGTGTGCAAGTACTTACATCAGTACCCAGTTTCATCAACATGTGGAGAAAGAAAGCATCAAGTTCCTTCTCTTCTATGTAACCTTTTTCTAAATGCAAGAAAATAAACATAAATAATAGTAACATATAAAATAACACATGACAGTATTAATCTAAATATGTTTTTACTCTCACAATTTATAAAGCTTCCATCAACACTATTTTTGTTATTCCAATAACAAAGTGCCAACACCTACCTCTAGAAGATATGGGTTTGAACAGTAAACACCGTTCCAGAATAAGTGCTTTATGCTAGGGTTTATATTAGTGTTTGGGAAAAAAAGGCTATTAAGTACATGGATTTTAATCAACGAATAAACGTGAACTTAACAATAAAATTTAACCCAGAAATTTCTGAAGCCTGGAGAAACTTAACAGGTGTAAGTATTGAATCCCAGTTTGCAGAGTTAAAACACACCTTTTAGATATTTTGTTTCTTTATTAATAAAAACAAATATTAAGTAGTTTCATTTTATTTTCAAGTAGTTTTTTGGTGGAGGAGTCGTTTTTTCTGGCGGAGGAGTCGTTTTGAAAGTTGGTAAAATTTATCCTCATTTTGAGAGAGTGAAGGGTGTACAACAAAGTCACTGAGTGAAAGTGAGCCCATTTAGGGAAGGATGACTTCAAATAGCTGAGTCCCACAAGCCTTGAATGTATACAATGATATTAGTCATTATATAAACAATATATAAGTATGTCTACCATATATATGGCGCGCACACACACAAAGAGAGATTGGAAAGGGGAAAGTGGAAATTCTACCACTTAGAATTTTAACAAGGTATATAGATGTGTATCACCAGTATGCCAAACGTCTGTTAATGATACTGTATTAGGTACAATGCATTAACAACCCAGGTCGATAACTTTCCCTACAGTAAAGGGGAAACTCTAGGTCCTTTCAGTGGGCTGAGCTTAGAGCCATGTCTACACCTGAGTGTGCAAGTAGCTTGTTCTACTCACCATCCGCATCAAAGCGCTGCCAGACCTGCCAGAAGCAAGCGGCGTCCAAGCGCCCCGGAGTCGGTTCGCGGGCGCTGTCCATGGTGTTGACGACGAAGACCAGGCACCGGCGCGGAAGGACCTAGACAACTTTGGTAAGGACTCCTGTATGGAATTTCTTGACTCCCTCTCCTGCTTCTTTCCCTATCTGATTAGCTTTGAGTAACTGTTGCTGTGGAGGACGCGAGCGCTGCTGGCCGTGGCGTCGCTGAGCCGTCCCTCAGCCCTCAGCAAAAACCAGCTGCTGGAAGCCCGCCCCGCTCCTGGCGCGCTGGTCCCCGCCCCGCCCTGCGCGCTGTCCTAGCAGATCCTGTCTGTCTCTGCGCGTGGGGGATTCAGGAAGAAAGAAACTGTCTCCAGGCGTCCACGGCTCACTGCTTTTGCCCTTTAACTTGTTTGTCAGACTCAGAGAAGACATCCCTCTTACGTTTGACTCACTTTCCAAACTTGTGCCTCAAGGGGTTTTCTAGGGAGAGCTGCCTCATTTAAAGGGTTGCAGAAAGTGTCAGTGTTAGGGCCCTTTGGGCTTGAGGATTTAGAAATGTAGTGTGTGGGGAGGGTAGGTGAGAAGAGATGGTGATGGTGGTAAGTGGTTCCCTTTAAGCAAGGAGTAAGTCAACAGCAATTATTGAGTCCTGATTGTATAGGACATACACATTGCTGTACTATAATGCACTATAAGGACTTGCAACTAAATAGGGATACTGCAAATCACTGTGATTTAAAGTAGCATCATTAGGATGCTGAGGAAAAATAAACTAAGCCGTACTCTGCCAGGAAGAGAGTCTGGGGGAGATGTGTCTGCCTGCAGGGTACTTAGGTAGAAGGCTTAGATGATTGTGTTTGGCTCCTAAGAGCCACATTAAGACCAAAGGATAAAAATCAGTTGGAGGAACACAGAGCTTTCTAACAATCAGGACTGTTCAAAATTGGGCAATGCTTTGTGAAAACGTGTACAAACTACACTGATACCTTTTGACTATATGTTTAGAACCTTTCGTTGGATAATCTATAGAAAATGCTTGGATATTAGATAAGAAAGTTGAACCAGATGTAGATCTTCTTTACGGCACCCTGACTCTGGTTTTAGCATTCAGAATTATTTATAAAAAGCACACATACATAAGTCATCTAAACCAGAGTAGTGAAAAGAACATGACACTCATGGTCAGATAGTCCTGGGTCGGGATCCGAGTTCCATTATTTACCAGCTTTGTAACCTGCACCATTAGTTCTCATCTCCCTAAGCCTTGATTCTCTTATCTGTAAAACGAGGATTAAAACATCTGTTTTGGAAGGTTGCTATGAGGATCAGAACCATACATAGCAATGTCCAGTGAATTATAGATGCTATGGTGTTGTAGTTGATGAGGGGTGACTCTATTAGAGAAAACAAGTAAAGTCTAAGAGATTGTCATAGCCAAGAGGAGCCTAATGGATCATGACAAAGAAATGTAATGTTTTATCCTGGACGTGATGCCGGAACAGAAAAAGGCCATTAGGTAACAATTAAGAAAATTTGAATAAATATGGACTTTAGTTAATAATAATGAAAAAAAATTGTTCAGAAGAAAATAGTTCTGGGTTCGGGGCCCAGCTTTGCCTCTTACTAGTTGTGTGTGATATTGGGCAAGTTACTCAAAAGAAGCCTCACTTTCTTTGACTGTAAAATGGGAATAATAGTAGTATTTACCCTGTGTTATTATCATAAAGGTCAAATAAAAAATCACATAAACCTATTGTCACAGTATATACAGTAACATTCAGTGTAAGTTAGCTACTAAAATGATGAATCTTCCATACATACATATTTGGAAGATGATGAAGTAAACTTCAGGATTTTTGAGGAGTGTGGCCTAGCCTAAAGAAGGAAAAGCAGTATCATCACCAATGAAACAAGTGCTGGATACAAAAATTGGAGAAAAGAATATGTAGCATAGGAGGGGTTAAGGGTTCAGTATCCATAATTATCATCTGTGACTTTGGGATATTATTGGATACAATGTCAAGCACCAGTTACAAAAAGTAATTGGTATGAACTCACCAGGGCTGATCTTGTTTTCTGATAAGTAGTGGAAAAAGATAAAACAAAGCAGATTTCAGAAGTAATAATCAAGATCTAATGTGGAGGGATGGTTAAATAAATGATAGTAAATCTCTATGATGGGCTTTGCTGCATACACAAAAATCTCGATTTTGAGCTTGATGATCCAGAAAAATTCTCAAAACATAAGGTTAAGATTAAAAAGCAAGTTTCAAAAGTGTACATATATGATGACTCAATTCTGTAAAATAAAATCCATGTTTCTACACATAGAAAACATGGAAGATATACACTAATGACATTAATGATATATTTCTCTGGAGTGGTGAAGAGGGAGGCTCACAGATGATTTTAATTTTGATATTTGTAATTCTTTTGTCTTAAAACTTTAGGCAGTAGGCATATAATGCAAGCTATTATAACTTTTTAAAGTTGTGAAAGTGAAATCTAGGGAAAGAAGAAGAAAAGTACAGCCACAAAGATGATTGTTCTCAGGACTGGAGAACAAACAGAACTTGGAACACTTTCCAGGAGCCTGTCATCTGGAGCTCTCTGGGGAGCTGCAATCTCCACTCGATAATTTATTTCCTGTTTTCTTTGCGCCCAAATATTTATCATGGCACTAGGTAGGTAGATACTGCTTAGGTATCCTGCATTCTCTCATATAAAGGTTTCCCTTTTAGAAAATCATCCAAGCCCTTAACAGAGAAGAGAGCCAGTAGGAAGGTATTTAAGGATCGTGTATCAGGAAGGAGACACCTGTAAGACTGTCTCATTGGAAAAGTTTTCCTGCCTAAACTGGAGTGATGGAGATGGGGATGAAGGAAGCAGAGGTGGTTTACCAGAGTCCCTTCCTGTCCAAAAGGAGAGCTCAGTGCAAAGCAAATATTCAGCAGTTGGAATCAAGTTGAAATACATTATGCATCTTATGGATTAATTAGCACTTTCCACAGAGATTCTGATTTTAATAGTTTGGAGTAAGACCTCTACATTGATTTTTTTTTTTTAAGAGTTCCCCTAGGGATTACATTAGAACCTCTGATTAACCTTCTGTCTATAAGTTTCCTGCTGCTCATATTCTGGTCATTTTATTAATTAGGTATTGTGTCTCTGAAGGATAATCAAGAAAAGGAAAAAACTTCAAAAGAATTAACATTACTTTCTTATTAATATACTGTCTCTTCCAAGAAGAGGTTAGAATTTATACTTATATGTCATCCTGGTAAGTTTTGACAATTGATGGCTGAAACTAGCGAGCAAAATCAGTTGTTTTTCTTTTTTCCGTACTGATTTCATTTTCTCCTGCAATCATTTCCTGCTTTTCTCATTAGCATAGCTAATTGATGGTTAGTTGCACAAGAAGCGGCAGTGGTCTATAATCTGAAGCATTGCTAATTAACCCTGATGCATCCATTCAATTCTAAGCTAAAATATCTGCATCTTTTTACAAATTCAGAATGATATTTCTAACTGGAAATATAAACAGTACTCATCTTCCAATGTT